GGAAGAACGTCAAAGTGATTGAAATTTGATAGAAGAAGCTCGCGCCCAGGGTAGATTAATGGATAATGCCGCCCTTGCAAACATCACTATCCCTTTTGACGTGGAAATGAGCTTTCCGAGTTTTATAAGGGATTCGGGGATACCAAAGTTTCTCCTTTGCCTCAATATGCTCACTACCAATTATAGTATTTCCTTCTATAAATAAGAGTCGTTCCGATTAGCCGGGGTCTATCAGATGAGACCCCGACTTTGTGGTGACCTGTGCAATCTAGGACATCCTTGTCTTACTTACAAGATGATAACACAATGTGAACACGGTATGTCCGGTTGCTAAACAGGTGTTCCAATCTTTGTCGTATGCACTTTTCAAAATCACGCAAATTTGCTCATGATATAACAAACAACATCAAGGCTTTTGCGTGGAAATTAGCTTTGAAAGTGTACTTTTTGTCGTATTTATTAAGGAGACAATGTCGTTCCCTCCTTCGCCTTTCTTCGGGTTTCTTTTCTGTATTTTGTGTATTGTTCTATATAGCGTCAAGGATGGAATTAAAAAGGCTTTATACAGAAAAGAACTAGGCGGCCCAAAGTCTAGTAGCTCGTGGATTACTTCTATCAACGCATATGAATGGTATCACGGACAAGCTAGAAACTTATTATCACTTTTTGGCGGAACCATTCAGTCTGAAAGCCCTCGCAGGACGTGCGCTTACAATTAAGCTAGCAGAGTTCCCAATAGGTTTAGCAACACTTAACTTCTTTTATTATTCTTTTGTCATTGAATAGGAAGGTAGGTGGGAAAGAAAGTTTGTTTCATTAATAAAAAAAATCAAAGAATTTTCGATGTTCAATCAAACTCGCGGTCAGTACAATTAGATGAGTAAACTAGAAGTAGGCTTGGACTACACCTAGTTTATTTTACGAAATGTTTGGGGAAACTGAAAGACGACAAAGAAAGGATAGTCACTTTAAATCTAAGAAAACGAAAATAAGTAATAAAATGTTCAAAACTCATAATGAAAAACGAGGTTTTTTTAGCCTTGACTTTGCTCCATCTGAAGTGTAAAGAAGAAATTTCTTTTAAAAACACGAGGAAAACATGATTTGGTACATGAAGATGTTCTGTTACTGAAAGAGAGATAAATAGGGCGAGGCATATGAAGTATTTTGTATTTTAGATCTCAAAAGAACTCGTTAAACTCTCCGGTCGTCTAAGCGCTTTGAATAGCCAATTATTTCCTAAACCTTGGCGCTCTAGAAAAGACTTCATTCAAAAGAATCGGAGCCTAGATAATCTGGCCGATAAAGATGTTCTGAAGATATCTATTGATGGCTAGACCACTTTATGGAATGGTCTTGGAATAAGCATTCTTTAGTGTTAAGAGATGGACTTAAGCTTTCTTTTATGATCAAGTACAAGCTATTTAGAGTGGAAAAAGATAATTTTTACGGCTGTTTTTCATGCGGCAAAAAAAGAGATTTTTCCATACTGACATGAGAATCCCAACAGAGTTTTTGCCACAAATGTTTTTTTAAAACCGACTAAATTTGAAGACCAATTTTTTAGACAATAAAAAATTATGAATTTGACTCGATTTCATAGATCACTTAAGGTTATAAATTGTCTGAAAAAGTCGAGATTTGAAATAATATTACTAATTATTTGATGAAACAAGTAAACATGTATCGTTTTGGTTGTCAAACATTTGACGTGTACGGCAGAAATCTTTATAACCAATATTTACTTTGTACAAATCTTCGTAATTTTTTCCTCGCATTTCTTTCATCCAATGAATGAGTCACTGATGATGTCCACTTTGATTAATCCAAAAAATTGTAGTTTATTTTGAGTAAAGAGTAACAAACTTTCGCTCATTTATTCATTTAGTAGACTAAATCTTTCATTCAAACACGATTCTGAGTTAGGAAAACGCTTCCGATTTAGAAAAAGGGGTAATTTTTTTCGCGTTAAACTCTTGTTTCATCGCGAAAAAAAAGACAATTGTGTGCGTCGAGCAAATGTCCATTTTTCCGCCTTGGCGTAAAGTTGAGATCATTCATGAACCAAGTAAACCATGAACCATATTGTTGAACCAAGTAAAAATGTCGAAATGAGTTTACAACACTTAACACGATCGCCAAAACACCTTCATGCCAAACCAATCAAGCTTGTTTTTCTAAAAGTGATGTTGTTTTTTCAGGCTTTCGACAGGTTCGTTTTGAGGTTGTAACCTAGGTCAGAGGCAGTTTCCTGTGTAAGCAGAACCAGAGAAGCTTTACGCGTGGTTTTGCATGCTCCAAAATCCATTCCTTCTTCCAGCATGACTAACATTTGAATCCCAAATCAACCGAAAACTAACCATATTTCTTTAATGTCCTATGTAGTACACACACTGCAAATGTTATCACATATTACTATATTCACATAAGTTAAAACTCAAATATGTTTTGCAGCACCCCGACTGAGCAAAGTCGCGCTAATTTCAGGAATATAAAGATCATGTATCACACTGGAGACCGAAGTCTAGATCGCCTGTCGCGCGCTTCAATCTTCGACTCAATCAAGTTCCGTATTATAAAAATGAATGCAAAGATCATTTATTTGCTCTATGATGCTTTTAGAGCCATAACTTTGATTCTCTGCTCACATTGACCTAGTTATTTGGTCGAACAACGACAACCCACAAACGCGCTCTGTGGTAACGAAACCAAGGCCTCAACACCCTATAGTCTTTGAGCTAGTTAAAGACCTAGCAAACTATTCAAAAAAGCAATTCCTATTGTAGCAGCGACTTTGCTTCCTCAACAGTCAAAATAATGACTTTAAAAAAAAATGGATACAAAGCCATGAATACATCATTTTGAAAAGAATTCAAGTGTATATTTTACCAGCCTCTGCTATGACGAACCTCTGAGGTAAGCAAATTTGAATGAAACAATGAACGAACGTTTCCAACTTTTTAACTCATCGAATATGATCAAAAGCAAAGTTTCCAGGAGTATTTTTATCGTAGGAGCTAAGAACCAGACTAAATAACATGTTGACTTATCAAAGCATGGCTTGTGTGTTTTGCTATTTCGGAGAACTAAGGACCGTTTGAGACACAACAATTCACCTTTTCGTTTCCGATAGTAGTTTTTGGCAAGAGGAATACAAACCTCGATAAAAACGTCCAAATAATCAAGAATTATCAGCTGGGGATGGATTGTTTTGAAAAACAAAACCCGTAAAAGTAGATTGCTTCCTAGAAGCTAGGAATTTGTTAGTTATCCGCAAAATAGTAGTGTTTTTGGGTGCTAGGCTGATTAATACTGAGGACTGACTGACAATGGCAGTTAGTTAAAGTAGAAAGAAAGAAAGAAAGAAAGATGATAGAAATAATGAAACAAGTAGAAATAAATCGTCGCTGCCCTTGTTTTATTTCATGCATTCAAATAATAACGTATTTTTCTATTTCCCCACCAGTCTTACAGAGAAAAAAGAAGGAATTGCTGCAAAGATGGTTGTCTCCAATATCAACTTCAGTTCGAAGAGTGGACCGCGTCGGTCTCGTAGACAAAACAGGCTTAGCTGATCGACTTTCCCAAATCCAAAAAACCTGTACACTATCCGAGACTTCTCATTATTATATACACTGGAGTCATCGTTTTTTTATTCCTTTCATCTTTTAACACCATCTTCCTTAGCACTGTGCCTGAAGCTATACAAGAATACAAGGGTCTTGAACTTCTGGAATCAAAAACGACAAGCATAGTATAGCTTCTGGGATTCATATCTCATATATCACCTTTCGCGCAAACATTCGAAATTATTATTTTAAAGTTACTATTCGTTTAATTGTGAATATAACTGATGTGTACGCTTTTAGCTTAAAGCTGTTCTAGGATATTGGTGTATTAATGTTAAAAGAAGTATATAAAATTGTTATTTGAATCCCGAGGGCAATCTGAGGTAAGAGTATCGGCTATGCTCATCGTAGTTTTTAGGAGTAAAAATAGTCAATTTGGTATATTTTAGGGTGTTAAGATTGAAATTAAGAATGTTGGCATTTCTTGGTATATTTTAGAAGGAAGAGCCCATCGTTTTTCATAGTTTATAATTGCGCATATATAGCTTAGGTGCTCATAATACTGACCACTATTCAGAATATTGCTCAGGCAAAAATTTCAACAGCCATTTATGATTTTTGTGTCATATCTCTTAGAGGTTTGAAATCGTCCAGCTACGCCCTTTTAAAAGACGTTCGGTATTTCTTAGCATTAACATTTCCGACGAGCATACCCGGTACTTTTACACCGGCGCCCCCCGGGATTTCAGCTAGCCCTTGAGTAAGGTTTTTAGTACAGACGTTCAATTTCTATACACCCTTCAATGACGGTAGTACAATGATGCCATATTTATGAAGTTATACATTATATATTTTGTTTATAAAAAACACAAAGGTTATGAATGTTTTTCCTCGGAAATAGATGCTCATTAAGGAAGAATTTTGTGCAAACTGAAGCGAAGGAGTGAATCGAGATAACGAGAAAAAAGAGGAATTTCTTGTACAAACCGCGAGTCAACGCGCAAGAAAAACAGATATATGGTTTGGTTATTGGATTGATTTTACTGAAGAATAGTCAAAGCTATTTGAGTAAAGTATTGCGCAATGAAAAGCAGCGTGGTTTTTTCAGTTTTACCACGGTCAATACCAGATGTTTTGGGGCAACTCGATCGAGGAGTCAAGCGCGCAAAATGTTTATTCCATCTCAGTAAAATAAAATAAATTAGGCAATTTCCAATTACAGGACCTCAAACTGTGCAGTTCATTTCAATTATGCATTTTGCGATATCTCTCGTTTTTGTGTGCGATAAATTGTGAATTTCAAAATATAGTGCGTGCGCCAATTTCTTGTTGAGTCGATCTCCCGCCGTTTGTAATATTGTCATCTGACCGGGGATTAGCCAATCAGAGCGCGTCTTATTGTGTTGTCGATCGTGGGTGGTCAGTTTCATGTCGAGAAGAATTGAATTACAATCAGATTCGTAGAGCAACTTTCCCTATGGGATTGTAAGCAGCCTATATCAACCATTCCCCATTACAAACGGCTTCATTCTCGTCTGAATGGTTCGAGGGCGACCAATGCTATAGCGATCGCTCTGGTATTCGACTGTGAGAGCCACGTAAAAGCAAATGATGAGCGAAGATCTCGAGGCTCACGAGTAACATGGCGTCGAGTCCTTCCAACGCTCAGTTGGTGTTGTGTTGGGTGATTTTGTGTGGAGTTTGTTGGGGCCAAACGCCTGGGACGACTTCATGTGAAAGGATAAAGCCTTGTACTTGTACGGGTAAACGTGTGGTTTGCCAGGACCAAAGCTTAACTCGTATTCCGTTGGGGATTCCTTCAGACATCACATCCTTGTGAGTATAATATTGAGACTACACACTACTGTACAATCTGTTTAGTTAGTGCAGTTTTCTTCACTTCTAAGGATCTTTAAATTCAATTTCGAGTTCGGTTTTATTAGTATTTATCGTGGGGTAGAGTGTAGTAAGGCTTAGCTGGCGGAAAAGGACGATGTTGAACTATAATTCAAAGACTATCCAATCGATAAGAGTCGAGCAGTCCATGTACAGTTTATCTGAGGTGAGAGGTCTTTTGGTTGGCAGTTCAAACGACTTATCCGTGGATCGTGTTTCACAAGATATAAGAAGTTCAATTGAAATTTCTCAATCTCATTTACTAAAAGTCTCCTAAAATGTTGGAATAGGGTTTATAAACTTGATCGTTTTTAACGCTCAAGTGGAAATACCGAGTTTAACGCGAAGAAAATCCCAGACGGCTGTCAAGACTTGTTTAGGTCCGAAGATAAGTCGTCTTGTTTATTCGGCATTCGTAGCGTAAATTCTCATCAATAGAAGATCAGTTTGCAGTCTAGAGAGGAAGAAAGCTGCCAGGAGAATAATCTAGTTAAGAACTTGACATATTATGAAAGAATTAGTTCGACATTTGGACCAACTTTGATGACAACAAGTCCGATGTCAACAGATATCGAGCTCTCGAAGCAAGGATATTTCATTTACGATCTACGAATTCGGTCAGCGATTCTTGTCCTTTTGACACACGACATTTTAAATACTTGTATCTCTCGAAATCTAAAAGTCATCTTCCTCCCAGAATTAGTGATAAATTGACGTGGAAAAATGTTAAGCAAGGCTGAACTTTTGGATTTATTCTCCGATATGAAGGCATGTATCTTGGGGTCTCTAAATCTAGTGTTCAACAGATGTTTGGTTCAATCCGTGGCTTTTGTTACTGAAGCCAACTTTAGGATTCTTTGCTTCGATTGCTATTCATTCATCTATGTATTAAATATTGTACTAGGTGAGAAATTTTGGTCGGTGTTTTAGGAGTTGGTAGTTTAAAAAGGTGTTATATTTCTATTGGAACATAATAATGACTTTAGTATATTAGAAATGCAATCACTATTATGAACTGTCCTTCTATAATTACCGTGCGGATTAGCCTAGAATGTGTTGCATGTTTGCCACTACAAAAGACTGACTTAGAGCATTGAAGCTACATTGTAGGACTCAATCATGTAAAGAAAAGTAGAATCGGTTTTGGCACGGCTAACTGATGATTTCGGAGGAAGTTTTTGTTGAAAATTGCGCGATATTTTTGAGTTAGGGAGCAGAGGAATGGCTGATCACCGAAAGACAAACAGTAAATTAGTTGTTATTTCTTGCGTGCCATGCATCGTTCTTATTTGCTCATCATATTTAGCTTTGTAACTATTGTCCTACAGATAGATCGATCGAGGCAGTGACAGTGTAAATGCACGAGATTCAAAGATAAAACTAGGGTTTTTCAATTTTCGATTTTTGAGGGATTTTGTTTATTCTTATGTTCTCAACACATGCACACCATGAACCGCGCGCTTCTTATTTTCTTTTCTCAATACCCAACAGCTTGAAATCCTCTCAACAAATTCCCTGCTGTGATTCCATTTCGGAAAAGGAAAAACCTCCCGTGCTCTTAATTCGTAGTCATCCTTTCATAAATTCTGATAATATTTCACAATTAATTGCTAAAGCATCCTTTTCATTTAGCTTCTACTTCCAGAAACTTTGTTCCAACTCACTTCGGAAAAAGTTTGTCATCCTTTCCCTTCGGAAAATCTTTTCTATTTTTGTTCAACATATGGCTAAAACTGTGTTCAATAGATTTAATATTGTTAGAGGCATCCAAATTTATATGCCCTCAGGTTATAAGCCCATCTTGAAGACTAACCGCTATAGACCGAACAAGATGCAAATATCTCACCAAAGATACCCCCTGTCGAGCACTTTATTAATGAGCCAGAAAGCAGCTATGCTCCAACGATCTCTCTTATTGTTTTTCGTTGTCCTTGTTGTTCAGTCGCCATATGTCTTCTGGTGGCTTTCCTTGCTTTTAATCTTGGCTACAAGTAAAAGAACTTTCTGCTTGGAACCCTGCATTCCATTTATCTTCCTCACCTCAATGTCCTTTAGTTTTGACTAGATTTTGATTGTTGACTTTAGGTCTGTGTTCTATGTACCTAAGGCTGCCTTTAAGAATGTATTTTCTGTTTACTCTAGCAAAATCGTCTCTTTGAAATAAGGGCTCTGAGAATAAGACGCATATGTCTTTTGTCATCTTATGTAAAATTCATTTGATTCACAGTTGGGTGTAGAATTAAAAAAATGCCATTCTCCCACTACACATGGTCTTCCCAATGTTTAATTTTCTTATTTTGGTAACTAAAATATCTTTAGTTTTAATCAAGAAGTCAACTGTACTTATTCACTTTGTTAATTTATGTAAGACAAGCTATCCATTGGTTTATTTGCTTACTATATAGGATTAACTCCGACACCCTACTTGACAAAAGTCCCTATGTAAACTATTGAACAAACACAATTTTGCTTTGAAATGCTCCGACTATGTGTGTAATTTCAAAGTGTTTTTCTGTTAAGAAACAAATGCTTATCAGTCAAATATATCAGGCTTTATTTTCTATTTTGACCTGGTAATTGTCATGGTTCAGTTTCGATAGTTTGGTTGCAGCAATAGTCTTCAACACTTGAGATATTATCATCTACTCTGCCAATACCTACTCTAAACAAAATGAACTGTACATGTAGAAAATTTGAGTTACATCTACACTTTTATATCAAATATTTTTATATACATGTGCATGTTCAGAACTAAAAAAGACATATCTTTTTATTACACTCTGTCAAAAGGATATTTCTTATCTAAGGATTCTGTATTTAATGTAGATAAATAATTAATTTTTACTAGAGGCAGTTTTATTTTCAAACTGAAATGTAAACAAAAATTTTTTTTATTTAGCACAAATTTCCGTTCCATTTCTGACCGGGATGTTCTTTCACAATGATTTCCAAAACAATACTCGTGTTTATAGACGTTGATGATGAGCAGTATATGGCTCAGTTAACAAGTTAATAGTCTTATTTTATTCATAACACGAGTCTTAATATAGCTCTACCTATATTCCATATCAGGTATGGTCTGGTGTGATTCATTGTGTTTAGTGAATGCTCTCTGAAGTGTTAATAATATTGATCAAATTTGATAAGTGGGTGCTTGTTAACTCTTCTAATATGAATGATTCGGACTGCTATTCTTTTGGATTCTTAATTGTCAATTTAGTAAATTACAACAGCAGCTGCTGCTGCATCAACACTCTTAAAAGCTGTGAAATAGCTGTTAGTTGAATGTATAGGAAATTAGGTGCTATGTATGCTACAAAAATTCACACAATTCAATTACATTTTAGTGTACAAATGTCTGCCTGTTTCTGTACTAATTTTTAATCTCCAACTTCCACCTATAAAATCTGTTTATTCTTGGTCTAAGATATATAAATTGTACTGCTTAAATGTCTTTAATTCCTCTAATAACAGAGTAGGTTATAGTTTGTAAATACTTCTTGAGAGATGTCGATGAAATTAATGAGTCTTTGGTCGCCTTTTTGTAATTTTCTTTAATGTTGACACAATATAATAAATGTGGTCATTAACAAAAGACTCAGCCCTTTTGCAAATTGCTTTTTGCTTTACAATAAGATGTTGATCTAGCTGGTTAGTAAGTCATTTGCATACCAATAAACATGTTATTCTCTTGGGTCTTAACTACTGTACATGGATCCTCGGTTATGTCTAGCATATTAAACTTAGGCAGAATAACTCTAAAAATTTGTTTTAGTTTACTCTTCTTTTATATTTAGATAGATATTTATTTTACTTTTTCACTGCCATTTTAAGGCACAAAAGGAAGAAAATAAGCTCAATTAAAAAGGGCAAAAATTGATTAAATATTTGGTTTAATTTAAAAAAAAAACTGATTCATACCAATTGATACAAACTGAATGTGTTTTTTGAATCAGTTGTTTAGAAAAGTAAAATTTATTTTTCAGAGAAAATGATCTCAATGAAAAAAAGAGAAAATTGATTAAATAGTTGGCTTATTTTTTCAACAAAACTGGGTTATATATGATACAAACTGGCATTTGTTTATTGAACCAGTTGTTTTGAAAGAGTAAAATTTCAAAAACTTGTTAGGAAGTTATTGATAACACATAGTGTTGTTATAAGTAAGCTCTATAAGAAATGTATTATTTAACAAACTTTACTCTTAGCTATTTCCTTGGATCCGTAGTTACTTCGGATATTTTGAAGCTATGCTTTTTTATATGCAATCTATTTTCTCATATTTTCTAGTTAAGGACCATTATACTATTTATAACTTGGCGATTCACTCTAGCAGCCTGCATTAATGATAGTGCTCATTAGTGATGTCCTTCAATAGGGAAATACTTCTCGAAAGTGTGTTATAGAATAAAAGAAGAATATAAATGTTTTTCAAAAGAAAGTCTTGTTTTTGTTTAACTTTTTCTTCTTAGAAAGCTTAAAGATGATAAATGCATTTTTTTATTGATAACCTTGACTTACTTTTGATTGTTTTAGGTATATCTAAAACTTATTGATCATTAGCTAGCTGTCATTGAAAGTACATTAGCATTTGACATGCAGGATTTAACAACCTATGGCATGAGAACTTTTTCTCTCTGTTAGTTTTATAAATTTTTAGCCATGCTGAGACCATTTTATTTGTTTCTTTTCCAGGGATCTTAGTAATAATAATATTGAACATATAGACACTCAACGCTTATCGAAGTTCAAGTCCTTAAAAGAACTGTGAGTAACACCGAAAGTATTAGCTAATTGTTTGTAATGATCAATAAATCATGCCAAATGGGTTTTGTTGGCACTTTATAAGGGTGGGTAGTAGCCACGCCCTTGTCTTGAGCACCTAGAGGCAGTTATTACATACAGGGCCACCCCTCTGATGCTCCAACTGCCTCCTTAAAAAGCTGCTTGATTTTTGAATGCATCAAAATATGATATATATTTTAGGACACACATTGTTTGACAGGGGCTCTACTCTTTTAACAAAGGAACATTTTAACAGGGTTACACTTAGCTGAAATGCAGATAAAATACAAATGTGTTTTCCTTTGATTGAGGTCAATGTTTGTAGCTGTCCTTTCCGTATGTGAATAATTTACAATGAGTGAATCAAACCCTATGTAATTGTATCAGCTATCAAATATTTTAAGCAGTTTTTTAATGGTCTGTTCATCAGAATATTCTTGAAACAAAATGAGACAAAAAGGGTCATTTTTTACTTTTCCTTTAAGAGATATAATGACTCATTCAAAACATCTAAACACCATCAAATACCTACAGTAAAATCCCAGTTATAAGCCCTGGACTTATATATACTCATTTCTAAGGGTATTTTGATGGGTGTGTAACTTGGAGGGCTTATGTCCAGGGGGAGGTGGAGAGCTTATAACCTGGAGGAAAAAGTGTTTGGA